TTTTTTTGATTGGCTGACATGGTAAACTCCAACACCAATAGGGAAGGGGTGTTTTTTCTTTTTTCACTCACAAGCTGAGAGTGTTTGCTAGCGCTGTCTCTAGAAAACGCTGTTTTTACCGTTCTTCCCGCTGTAAACACCACTGTTTTGTTCAGAAAAAAACATCGCGTGTATTTTTTATCATAACTCTGGTTTTACGTAGCCCATCGACACAATTCAAGAACTGGTATATAGTTTGAAGTCCGCACTTTCGACCCAAATTGAAATGGAGACTCTGACGTGCTGCATCTTGTAGCTGTGTCATCTTAAATTGCTCATGTGATTTTGACGCGCCAGCGCGTCCACCGACCCCAGAGGGTTAATAATGTGTTAGTCCCAACACTAGAAACCAGCACTCATCTTTCAGTGCTGTGTGCGTGAAAGCTGTGTGCTTCCTATCACAGTCTCATATGATTAATTTCTGACCACTCACTGTGATGTTATCAAGATTTAAATCGATGTTATTGTAGCGGGTCAGGGCTGTTCGGGGTTTTGTTTTTACAGTTATGTTCTGTTGTTATGTTGCCATAGTTACAGGTGACGCGCTCTCTCTTCGACTGGTGTTTCCGGGTGAGAGAGAGCGCCTTTTTGTGTTGTTGTTGTTGTTGTTGTTGTTGCGGCTAATAAACGTCTGTGCTCCCTGGCTGATGGGAAGCAAGACCAAACGAAACCTCTGTCTCCTCCTTGTCTGAGCTCGCCACATTGGTGTCAGAAGTGGAATTGCTCACCCTCACCGGAATGGAGAGAGACACTCAGAGGCTGGAGCAAGCCGTCGAGGAGAGCATTCGCTGCTTGGGAAGTGGGCAATCGAAGCGAGAGCAAGCGAGCGGACATGTAAGTCCCCCGACGGGTCCCGACGGTGCACCGCGACAGCGGCCCATCGTGACCGACGCTAGGACAATGCTTCATGGGTTGCCTCTGTCGACCGACACGCCGGGCCCCCGACAGCAAGCAGTGATGCCTGCAATGCCAGCTAAGGTACCGAAATACAAGGGGCTAACCCCGCTAGAGCCCTACTTCTCACAAGTACGGCTAGCCGCAAGGCATAGTGGCTGGAGTGATGAAGAGGCTGCCACACACCTAGCACTAGCATTGGAAGGAGATGCACTGCAGGTACTCCTTGACCTAGCCCCGTCAGAGCAGCATGAGCTCCAAGCCCTCACCATAGCACTCGAGAGGCGGTTTGGGCAGCGGCACGCCACTGATCAGAGCAGGGAGCAGCTGACCAACCAGAGCCGTCGGCCGGGGGAGAGCCTGGGAACCTTTGCAGCAGACGTGTTGCTGTATGCTCGTCGCAGCTACCCGGAGTTCCCAGCAGCAGCCTGTGAGGCGCTTAGCCTGCATGCTTTTCTGCAAGGACTTTTTCCAGAGCGACTGCGCCAACACATCCGCCTGGCCATGCCTCAAACTCTCCTCGAGGCTGAAAGGGCCAAGCTGGTGCCCACCTTGCGACCTAACCAGAAGGTGTCCCTCCCAAACTACCCCCGAATCAGAGCCGCAGACTACGACAGGGAGGGGGAGGTCCCGGAGATATGCCAGCTGCAGCCCTCAGTACCCTGGAGGCATCCCCGTCGACCGACGGCCCACGTGGCGTGCGACTGCCTGGCTCCTGCCCCGAAGGCCAGAACTATGTGGCCTCAGGGGAAGGAGAGGGGGAGCGGTACAGCGAGGGGACCACCGCTCCAGCTTCCTGCCCCCTCCAAGAACGATGCACGGTGGTGGGCCTAGTCGGGCACCTCAAGGGACTCTACCTGAGCTGCTGTGTTGAGGACCAGCCCTGCCAGGCTCTGGTGGACACGGGGTCTACCATTTCTCTAATACGACATGGTGTGCTCCCTGGAACGTCCAGGCCGCTTGTGAAGGGTTGGTCACCCACCGACACCCAGCTGATGACAGTGACGGGGCAGAGAACTGACATGCGCGGGAAGAAACCGTTGAGGATCCGAGCGAAGGATCTGGAGCTGGTGCACGACTTCTGGCTTGCTGACATTCAAGAGCAGTGCATCATCGGCCTTGATCTGCTGACCCGCTGGGGGGCCTGCGTTGACACCGCAAAGCTGGCTATCACTCTTGGTACAGAGACTCTGGCCCTCCAGTGCAGTCAAAAGCAGGGAATCAGAGACAGACAAGCCAGGCTTCAGGCAACTGCTGCTCGACAGTCTTCAGACCCCAGTGGCTCTGGACCATCTCTACTCGCCTCAGCCCCAGTCTCTAGGCCCGACAAAACTCCCTTGACCGAGACAACCCAAGCTGTTGATGATCTGTGGCAGCACTAGCGGTTGAGGTGCCTCCTGGGCGAGAATGTGGACATCATTGCTGCTAGTGACAGAGACTGCAGGCAGACGCGGCTGGTTCAGCACACCATCGACACTGGCTCTGCTCAACCCATCTGTCTGTGCCCACACCAGCTGCCCTTCTCGAAACGGCACGGAGAGCGGGCCCAGGAGGCACTGGGCGTGGCTACTGCTCAGGCCACAGCCGGCGGAGGGGGATGGCTCTCGTTGACCATGCAGCAGCTGAAGCAGGAGCAGGAGGCTGATGCGACGTTGGTTCAGGTGGGGGCCTGGCTGGAGGCGGCACGATGCCCAGGCTGGACAGGGGCGTCAGGACAGGGGCTCGAGGTGAAGGCCTACTACTCCCAGTACAACAATCTGGAGACCCACGACGGCCTCCTATACCGGAGATGGCGGGCCCACGGACAGGGCAAGGATCTCCTGCAGCTGTTGATGCCTCAGTCACTGCGTTTGCAGGTGCTTGAGCTTGTCCACAGCTTGGTGGGGGCCGGCCACTATGTTAATGCCAAAACTCTCCGCCATCTCAGGGGACGGTTGAACTGGCCTGGTTGTCGACAGGATGTGGAACTTCATGTGCACTATGTTCCCATAGTGGCCGGCCCCAACATCTCTGCACAAACATCTCTGACAAAAATAACTGACATGTAATGTTTAGAATAAATATCTGGAATAATGTAATAAGAGCAATGATGTTTTTTGGTGAGAGTAATTTTAAGAACTAAACTATTGATCTACACTGATTTATAATGTTAATCACACTTGGACTCACCGAGCCTTTCTGCAGTTTACCACAGCTGGAAGAAGGCTCCATCGTCCCTCCCGTGATGTGTTGTACTTCTGCAGATCAAACTCGTCCATAACGTTCTCTGACATCATCAACATATGTGCCAAAGCTGTGGACTCAATTTCAGAGAGTTTCTTCTCTGACTTGTTCTGTGACTTTAGAAACTCTTGGATCTCCTGATGTACTAAGACGTCATTCATCTCCCTGAGAGAGTAGAGAATGTTTATGCATCTTTCAGGACACTTGCCTTCACTGCTAATCTTCTTCAGGTTGTTGATGACTCTCTGGATGGTTTGTGGACTGCTCTCTGTCTGACCCAGCAGACCTCCTAAGAGTCTCTGGTTGGATTTCATAGAGAGGCCATGAAGGAAGCGAACAAACAGTTCCAGGTGGCTATTCGGAATTTTCAAGGATTCTTCCATGGCTCTGCTCAGAAAATCTTCCAGAGATGAGATATCTTTCAAAGATATCTTATTTCCTTTATCGTCCTCAGTAAGGAAGTTCTGCAGCACCTCTGTCTTCCTGTTGGTGTAACAGTGAAACATGTAGACAGCAGCCAGAAACTCCTGAATGCTCAGATGAACAAAGCAGTAAACTGGTTTCTGGAAGATCACAGACTCTCTTTTGAGGATCTCTGTACAAACTCCTGAATACACAGAGGCCTCTGTGACATCCAGACCACACTGCTCCAAGTCTTCTTGGTAAAACAGGATGCTTTTTTTCTGCAGATGTTCAAACCCTAGCCTCCCCAGCTTCAGAAGAACTTCCCTGCCAGCATTGGTGAGCTCTTGACAACTCATCTCTTGCCCCTCATGGTACTTGTGCTTTTTCTTTGTCTGAACCAGCAGGAAGTGTGAGTACATGTCAGTCAGGGTCTTGGGCAGCTCTCCTCTCTCCTCTGTAGTCAACATGTGCTCCAGAACTGTAGCAGTGATCCAGCAGAAGACTGGGATTCCACACATAATGTAAAGGCTCCTGGATGTTTTCAAGTGAGAGATAATTCTGCTTGATAGCTCTTTATTTCTGAATCTTCTCCTGAAGTACTCTTGCTTCTGGGAGTCAGTAAAACCTCGAACTTCTGTCATCCTGTCAACACATTTAGGAGGAATTTGACTTACTGCTGCGGGTCGGGAAGTTATCCAGATGAGAGCAGATGGAAGCAGATTTCCCTCAATGAGATTTGTCAGCAGCTCACTAATGGTGGACTTCTGTGTGACATCAGACACCAGCTTCCTGTTGTTGAAATTTAACAAAAGTCTGCTTTCATCCAGGCCATCAAAGATGAATAAAAGATTATACACAGTGAGCTTCTCTGCTGTGATGCTCTGTAATGTTGGATAGAAAACATGGATCAGCTCCAGGAGACTGTACTGCTCATCTCTGACCAAGTTCAGCTCCCTGAATGAAAGCAGAACCACCGCACTGATTTGTTGGTTTTCTAAGCTCTCTGCCCAGTCCAGAGTGAACTTCTGCACCAAGAAGGTTTTTCCAATGCCAGCAACACCATATGTCAGAACCACTCTGATGGGTCTTTGTTGGTCAGGTAAGGCTTTAAAGATGTCCTTGCTGCTGATTGGTGTTTCACAGGGGATCTTCTTACAAGCGCTCTCCACCTGCCTCACCTCATGTTGGAAGTGTACAGCTTCACTCTGCTCCTCTGTGATATAGAGCTCAGTGTAGATCAATCTGAGGAGGGCTCCAATTCCTGTTTTATCAGTTCCTTCAATCACATGTTCATATCGTGTCCTCAGAGTGACCTTTAATACATCAAAAACTTTTTCTAGATCAGTATCTGTTGAAAGAATGGAAAACAATTAAACAAGAGAGCAAGAAAACGTAAGTTTACATTTTTGCACAGCTGCTCTTACTGGCTGTCTGCTGAAAAGTTCTGGTTACAGACTTTACTCCACATTGGGGACAGAAGTCTGTAGATGAATCCTTCAGGACATCCTGACACCACACACAACATGACACTGGCTTCTCCACAAATAAATTCCTCTTCTTCTCTCTGTGGACACAAACAAAAATTATTCTGACCAAAGAAAGGAAGTAAAAACATTTGTAGACATCATGCAAACACTTGTTTATCTGGTAGGTTCATAGTAGTGGGCATTCAGTTACTGGTTTTTCCCCTCAGTATCTTTCACTTAATGTGTTTTTTGTTGCCTTTTCCTGTATAAAACAGTGCATTTATTCTTAATCGAAGCAAAACAGCTTTTATGTGGGTGGCTGTTTGGTCTACTGAAATAAGGAGATTGGCCTTAGGGTTTAGCCTAGCTTCCAAGAATGTTGTCTTGACTTTCAGAAAACTGGTTATTCCAAAATCTGTACTTTGTGCCTGATGATCCACGTTCATAACTGAATACTCAAGGATAGTCTCTACAAAACCTGCAGCCTCTCATCCAACATCACACACCTCTACCTTTGCCTTCATCTTCACCTCCTCTGCTCGCTAGTTCATCTCTTAAACCTTAAATCTCTGAGAACCTTCACAGACTTCATCTCTTAAACCTGTTTGTCTGCTGTGCTCAGGATTTCCCTCTCAGTTTGTTCACGTTAATTCTCCATTTTCTGGAGTCTTTTGAGTTCAGCTATGGTTCCCACACTGCTCAGAGGAGCTAGCAATCCGCCTGGTTTCCACGTGTTTGGTCACACACACTCCCCAACACTGTTCCCTCTAAGCTGAGTACGTGAGCAATCGCACACTGCTGACACAGTCTCCACACACAGAAAATCAGTGAAATTAAAATAAATACATGTATTTACTTTCATTTCAATTCACACTGGACTTTTTTGTGCGCAGCGCAGATGTGTGCGGAGACTGTGTCAGCAGTCTGCGATTGCTCACGCGCTCAGCTCAGAGGGAACACTGCTCCCCAATCTGCTCTGGTTTTGCTTCCTCTTCTTAAAGCAGTATAGTTATATTAGTAGGGTGTCTGCCATACATGATCACATATCTGAATTCAAAAAGAATCAGATAGTCGACTAGAACACAAATATCAGTGCAAACATTAGGACCTCTCGACATCAGCTGTTAATTATGGCAGAACTCAGGTGGTGAGGGTGGGTAGATGTATCTCTAACAGTATCAGCATCAACACAGGAGCACCCCAGGGATGTGTCCTCTTGCCACTGCTCTACTCCCTCTACACAGCAGACTGTGTGCCCACCCACGGCTCAAACATCATTGTGAAGTTTGCTGATGACACAGTGGTGTTGGGCGCCATCTCCAACAACGATGAGGCGGCCTACATGGAGGAGGTGAAGAATCTGGCATCATGGTGCCAGGATAACCACCTCCAGCTGCACGTTGGCAAGACGAAGGAGCTGGTGGTGGACTTCAGAAGGAGTCAGCACAGAGACTGGAGTTCCAGTGGAGAGGGGGCAGTCCTTCAAGTATCTCGGTGTCCGTATCTCCTCAGACCTGACATGGTCTGCCCACATTCAGGTCCAGACGAAAAAGGCTAGGCAGCGCCTGTACCACCTACAACAGCTAAGGAAGTTCAGGGTCTCTCCAAAGATCCTCAGGATTTTCTATACAGGCGCTGTGGAGAGCATCCTCACACAGAACATGACATCGTGGTTTGGGAACAGCTGTGTGAAGGACCAAAAAGCTCTCCAGAGAGTGATCCGTACAGCAGAACGCTGCTGCAGGATTGCTCTCCCCCCGCTTCAGGACACCTACACCAGGAGATGCCGGACTAGAGCAGCGCAGATACTGAAGGACCCGTCCCATCCTGGCAACAAACTGTTCCAACTTCTGCAATCTGGTAGAAGGTTCCGCATCATCCGGGCAAGGACAGAGAGACTCAAGAGGAGCTTCTATCCCCAAGCCATCCGGGCCCTAAACCATAACATCACAGATTGCCTCATGTGTGTTATGTCCAGTTTTGCTTCCTCTGTCTAACTAACCAAGGGAACCAGTCTACTCTGAAGTGTTGCATCTGGGCTGTATTTAAGCCAAACACGCAATAGACATTAACACAGCTGTGTTAGTGGTTTTGGGGGAATAATTGCTTAATTGCAAGGCGTTAAGAGCCTTCTCAGAAAGACTGTGTTTAGCCTCGATCTTTTAAGAATGGTGTCTTTAATGTTTGTAAAAAAAAAAACATGTTTGTGGCCACATGTTTTTTTTAAATTGCAGTAATTTCATTCCTACCAATCTCTGATCTGCTTCAGAGGAGTATAAGCACAATTCAGTGACTCCACCCCTGCGAACTCCTTTGAAACAATACGAAATACTCGAAAACTAAAATCATCTTCACTCAGTTTATAGCCAGAATCAGCCTCTTACTGTGTGATTGGGGGTCCAGGTTCATGACTGAAGACTGGAGGATAATCTCTGGACATGTCACTGTTCATGGACACAGAGCTGGATCCTGGAAACTCTGCTTGGTGTTTGTGTTGTTTACGTCTGTAAACACAAACATAGAATAAAGCACAGATTATTCTTCTGTTGTTGATCATTGAGCTGCCTCTCTCTCTCTGTCAGATTTATGAGGCTATACAACTCTCTTACAACTACTCTAATTAATGTAGGACAAGCTATTGCCAGGTTAATCTTTTAAATCGTTTTAGAATCCTTAACTAATATTTTTGACTTTGGATTTCCATTTAGATTTTTCTATTATATGCACAAATAATCTTTCTCTCATTAGTATTTAGTAATGCTAACATTAGTTACCAGCACAACGAGTCACAGGAAGCTGGTTAACCAACTTGCCATGTTTACAGGGATTTATCAGTCTAGCTGTGAGCACATCCACATAAAGGCAGTTGGCAGCATCAAACCAATCAGTCACAAATAAGTGCACTGGTAGTACAACAGTTATTTTATACAGGAACATAAAACTGCAAAACTTAATGGAAAACAAATATTAGGCGTTCAAACTCATAACACAGGCTGAAAGTAACACAGCTGTGTCAGTGGTTGTTTGAGGAAAAGCACTGTATATGAATGTTTTAATGGTTAAGAGGCTTTTCATAAAGACTATTTGTCATGGACTACGGTGGGTGGCTGGAGTTTCCATAAGGCTCCTGAACTGACCTGGGATCCGCCCCTGGGCAGGGCCAACTCCAGCTCCTGCACACCTGGAGCCTATTGCAGGCAATCAAGCCAGAGGGATTTAAACCACACATTGATGTTCATTCACTGCCAGTTCGTCATCAACACATGTTGGTAACAGGCCGTATACGTTAAGTTCTTGCTGTGAATTATCCTATTAACACGACTCTCTTGTGCTACAGTTGCTGTATCCACCTTGGCTCACACTCCACCTCCGGACTCAGGATACCTAGTAATCATTCTGGAAATCTCTCTGTGCCTCACCTGCCTGCCCTCCTGCCATCACACTCCATCTGGAGCCCCGGATCTCAGGTCAGCTTTTCCACGCCACTCAGCCTCCCCTGGATCTTCATCACCCCCCTCTCAAACACTCCAGGTCCCTAACTTCAAGTAAGAATTGCTGCTCTTACACTGGCCACTTCTGAGCTGCCTTCACTACCTACCTAACTCCTATATCCTCTTCCCTCAGTGTGACTGTTCCCCACTCAGCTCCGTTCCGCATCTCAGGCCTCATTCCCTTGCCCTAGCCACGTTCCCCAGGCCACGCCGCACCAAGGCTCCACGTCTCGTCATTTTTTGTCTTTGCCACGTTTTTCTCTTGCACTTAAACCTAATAAATTGTTGCATCATCTGCTGTCTCCGCTCTGGGTTTCTGCACCTGAGTCCTGTTCGGTACCGGCCACCCGTCGTGTGTGTGTGTGTGTGTGTGTGCGTGTGTGTGTGTGTTGTGTTTCCTGTTCTGCCAGTTATGGCTTTCTTTAAAAATATTTCTGATGTTTTTTTTCTGCCGTGCTCACAGTCACAGTTCTTTGTTTCTCTCCCAGGAAGCCTAAAAATAAGTGTTTTGGAGGGGAACATGGCAGAGTTTCAAGGATCCAGCTCTGTGTCCATGAACAGTGACAATAGGAGATTATCTCCAGTCTTCAGTCGATGAACTTGGACCATCAGGCAAAAAGTAAGAAACTGTGTCTATTATAAACAATTTGAAAATGGTGAAAGGAGAGGACAAACTTTAGTAACATAGTAAAGTTTTTCTGAAAAATGCTCTTAAAGCACTAAGACATTCATATCAAGTGATTTTCCTCAAACAACCACTGACGCTGTATTATGTATTTCAGTCTGTATTATGTTTTTGACTTCCTGATATTTGCTTTCCATTGAGTTTTGTATTTTATTTTATAAAGGAACATAATGACTCCGTATCCTGGTAACTGATGTTAAGATGATTGAATACTGATGAGGGAAAGATTATTTGCTTATATAACAGAAAAATCTAAATGGAAAGCTCTGAAATATTAAATGAAGATCTGAAAGTGAGTTAAAAACGATTACCCTGGTGACAGCCTGCCCTACAGAAAGTACAGTAGTAGAGAGAAAATTGAGTTTTTCAGTCTCCTAAATCTGACAGAGAGAGAGAAGCAGCTGAATGCCCAACAACAGGCACATGTAGAAGAATAATCTGTTCTGGATTCATTGTTTGTGTTTACAGACATCAACAACACAAACACAGACCACAGTTTCCAGGATCCAGCTCTGTGTCCATGAACAGTGACATGTCCAGAGATTATCCTCCAGTCTTCAGTCATGAACCTGGACCTTCAGGCACACAGTAGGAGACTGTTTCGGCTATAAACTGAGTGAAGATGCTTTTAGTTTTCGAGTCTTTCACATTATTTCAAAGGGGTCTGCAAGGGTCCTTGACATGTGTATAACCCATTGAAATGTTTTCCTATGAAGTTTTGTGGTAATTAGAATAGAATTCAACTTTGTCATTGCACATGCACAGGTACAGGGCAACGAAATGCAGTTATTAAGATTAAGATTCTGTCTCTATTATAAACAATGTGAAAATGGTGAGTGGACACAATAAGCTTTAGTAACATAAAATAGTGTCACGACGGGGTGGCCGGTACTGAACAGGACTCAGGTGCAGAAACCCAGAGCGGAGACAGCAGATGATGCAACAATTTATTAGGTTTAAGTGCAAGAGAAAAACGTGGCAAAGACAAAAAAGACGAGACGTGGAGTCTTGGTGCGGCGTGGCCTGGGGAACGTGGCTAGGGCGAGGGAATGAGGCCTGAGATGCGGAACGGAGCTGAGTGGGGAACAGTCACACTGAGGAAGAGGATATAGGAGTTAGGTAGGTAGTGAAGGCAGCTCGCAGTGGCCAGTTGTAAGAGCAGCAATTCTTACTTGCAGTTAGGGACCTGGAGTGTTTGAGAGGGGGGTGATGAAGATCCAGGGGAGGCTGAGTGGCGTGGAAAAGCTGCCTGAGATCCGGGGCTCAGATGGAGTGTGATGGCAGGAGGGCAGGCAGGTGAGGCACAGAGAGATTTCCAGAATGATTACTAGGTATCCTGAGTCCAGAGGTGGAGTGTGAGCCAAGGTGGATACAGCAACTGTAGCACAAGAGAGTCGTGTTAACAGGATGAATCACAGCAAGAACTTAACGTATACGGCCTGTTACCAACATGTGTTGATGACGAACTGGCAGTGAATGAACATCAACGTGTGGTTTAAATCCCTCTGGCTTGATTGCCTGCAATAGGCTCCAGGTGTGCAGGAGCTGGAGTTGGCCCTGCCCAGGGGCGGATCCCAGGTCAGTTCAGGAGCCTTATGGAAACTCCAGCCACCCACCGTAGTCCATGACAAATAGTCTTTATGAAAAGCCTCTTAACCATTAAAACATTCATATACAGTGCTTTTCCTCAAACAACCACTGACACAGCTGTGTTACTTTCAGCCTGTGTTATGAGTTTGAACGCCTAATATTTGTTTTCCATTAAGTTTTGCAGTTTTATGTTCCTGATAAAATAACTGTTGTACTACCAGTGCACTTATTTGTGACTGATTGGATTGATGCTGCCAACTGCCTTTATGTGAATGTGCTCACAGCTAGACTGATAAATCCCTGTAAACATGGCACGTTGGTTAACCAGCTTCCTGTGACTCTTTGTGCTGGTAACTAATGTTAGCATTACTAAATATTAATGAGAGAAAGATTATTTGTGTATATAATAGAAAAATCTAAATGGAAATCCAAAGTCAAAAATATTAGTTAAGGATTCTAAAACGATTTAAAAGATTAACCTGGCAATAGCTTGTCCTACATTAATTAGAGTAGTTGTAAGAGAGTTGTATAGCCTCATAAATCTGACAGAGAGAGAGAGGCAGCTCAATGATCAACAACAGAAGAATAATCTGTGCTTTATTCTATGTTTGTGTTTACAGACGTAAACAACACAAACACCAAGCAGAGTTTCCAGGATCCAGCTCTGTGTCCATGAACAGTGACATGTCCAGAGATTATCCTCCAGTCTTCAGTCATGAACCTGGACCCCCAATCACACAGTAAGAGGCTGATTTCTGGCTATAAACTGAGTGAAGATGATTTTAGTTTTCGAGTATTTCGTATTGTTTCAAAGGAGTTCGCAGGGGTGGAGTCACTGAATTGTGCTTATACTCCTCTGAAGCAGATCAGAGATTGGTAGGAATGAAATTACTGCAATTTAAAAAAACATGTGGCCACAAACATGTTTTTTTTTTACAAACATTAAAGACACCATTCTTAAAAGATCGAGGCTAAACACAGTCTTTCTGAGAAGGCTCTTAACGCACTTGCAATTAAGCAATTATTCCCCCAAAACCACTAACACAGCTGTGTTAATGTCTATTGCGTGTTTGGCTTAAATACAGCCCAGATGCAACACTTCAGAGTAGACTGGTTCCCTTGGTTAGTTAGACAGAGGAAGCAAAACTGGACATAACACACATGAGGCAATCTGTGATGTTATGGTTTAGGGCCCGGATGGCTTGGGGATAGAAGCTCCTCTTGAGTCTCTCTGTCCTTGCCCGGATGATGCGGAACCTTCTACCAGATTGCAGAAGTTGGAACAGTTTGTTGCCAGGATGGGACGGGTCCTTCAGTATCTGCGCTGCTCTAGTCCGGCATCTCCTGGTGTAGGTGTCCTGAAGCGGGGGGAGAGCAATCCTGCAGCAGCGTTCTGCTGTACGGATCACTCTCTGGAGAGCTTTTTGGTCCTTCACACAGCTGTTCCCAAACCACGATGTCATGTTCTGTGTGAGGATGCTCTCCACAGCGCCTGTATAGAAAATCCTGAGGATCTTTGGAGAGACCCTGAACTTCCTCAGTTGTCGTAGGTGTACAGGCGCTGCCTAGCCTTTTTGGTCTGGACCTGAATGTGGGCAGCCATGTCAGGTCTGAGGAGATGTGACACCAAGATACTTGAAGGACTGCACCCTCTCCACTGGAGCTCCAGTCTCTGTGCTGACTCCTTCTGAAGTCCACCACCAGCTCCTTGGTCTTGCCAACGTGCAGCTGGAGGTGGTTATCCTGGCACCACGATGCCAGATTCTTCACCTCCTCCATGTAGGCCGCCTCATCGTTGTTGGAGATGGCGCCCAACACCACTGTGTCATCAGCAAACTTCACAATGATGTTTGAGCCGTGGGTGGGCACACAGTCTGCTTATC